TGCTTTCGTCGGAAGGACGGGTAAAGTCAAACGAATCTTTTGCAGGAACACGGAAACATACATGGATGGTGCGAAGTTATTCTTCCCGGGTGCAGCCTGTAATACCAGCTCCGACTGAACCAACAACCCTCATGCAAACACTAACGCCACTTTTGCTCTTACAACGACCCAAAAATCCCAATCTACCATCCTCAAGACTAACAGCGCCCCAATGAATCTTTCGCTTAAGCACGGCCAGATGCATTAGCACCTTGCTAACCGCTCTCCCCGACGCAACTCCTTACTCGCCAATCTCAAAAACTAACCTCGAAACTCTAATTCCAACCCGTCATCGTCCTTATGTTGCTTCAGAACCCCATAATCGAATCTTTGCTCGCTCGATTTGACTAAGGAACGAGTGAGATATCCGTCCTCATCCCACCATGTCCGCTTCCCTCGACACCTCCGCGCAGCACTTTTTCTCGTAGGTCCTTTTCCACTAACCTTTTGCTAGATCTGAGGTCAGAAACGGGGTCGCCATGACCAAAAAAACCCATTCTGAGTCCTCCCTCGCTCGATTTCCTCTAGAAATGAGCGAGATGAGCGATTTTCCTTCCCCCTTCTTCCTCACTTCCCTCCATCTCCGCGCACGGCCTTCCTTACTAACCTCTCTCCATACTCACCTTTTGCTAAATCTAATTCCAGATTCGAATTCGCCCTACGTCCTTACCCCCGTCTACTATCTTCCCCTGCTCATTTTCATAAAGGAACAAGCGGGGTGTGCTCCTATTACTTCCGCCATAGCTCTCTTCTCATTGCTGCGTTCCTTTCCTTTGCACATGTACCCGTCATTGCTTCACGTCCGGATTCACTTTTCATCACTTGCCTGCTCCCCCGCCCGTCCGTCACTCTGCTGCCTCACCTCAGTACCTAGCACTTCCCGTCGTTGCTCTGCCTCACTGCCTAGCTTCAGCACCCGTCGTTGCTCGCTTCTCTCACCACCGGCCAGCCAAACGCCTTAGCGTAGTCGCCTTCCCGGCGACTCCGACCAGCCTGACGGAATTTCGGGAAGGACCGGCTATAGGATAGTCCAATTAATCTTTCGCCCCTATACCCAAGTCCGACGACCAATCGCACGATAGCACTGTTGCAGTCTCCACCCCAGCGCCCCCTTACCGTGCTCCGCTCGTCCTTAGTTACCCTGACTCTCGGGGCCTGAACGGCATGCCCACACTCAAACCTCTCATAACAGACTGCGGGCTCAAGCCGGCGGAGGGCGTAGCAGCAGAGGCTCACCACTTAGATCCTCTGCCTCGTGGCTAGTCACCGACCGGCTTGCATGCATGGCGATCTCCTCAGTCCGAATTTTAAGACGGGCGTAAAATAGAGAAACCTCGCCAACATCCAAGACATGCCGGAACCCGAGCGAACCGTCAAAAAGGGGCGCGAGCTGAAGGTCCTTGAGTGGTGCTCCCGCCGACAGCCTTTTAAAAACCAGTCCCGCACCCGCCCCGAAGAGGACAAACACAACAAAAATAACAACAAAGACAACAATAAACCCTTGACGCCGTGCAAGCCCGGGCCTCTGCGGTCCGCACCTCGTCGTCGATACCTTGCGCCAGTCGGGCCCCCGCCCATACCACGCGGAAGCCTGGCGCACACTCTATCTCCCGCACACTCCATGTACCGCAGACAGTCGCACTATCGTTGTCGACACTGTCCCCCAAGCACACGCGCTTGTCTCGGTCAAATGTACCAGTCAAAAACAGAAAAATATCCTTAAATCCTAGTTTAATAACACAAAGCGGCTGGCATCCACGTCGGCTTCACAATCATCAATAGGGGAAAGAAATCACGCGCTCCTTAAACTTGCGCGCCCCACGCACTCTCTGCTTCTTCGACATTCTAGTCAAACCTTCAGCCAAAAGACTGACGCGACTCTCGTGGTCTACTCAAACATTTCGAATCGAACTTATTTTCCGCCACTTGCAAAAAAACAGGAGGGATACCCTTGTAAGGGTATTCGCGCCAACAACGCCATGCCCACGGTAACCTGTGCCTTTATCCTCTACCTGTAACCACTCTCACTCTCGTATCTGAAGAAGGAAGAAGAAGAAGAATGGAAGGAGGAGAAGAGGAGGAGAGATGGAGGGCGAGAAGGGAGAATTATCGCCCTCCTTGCTGCCTCACCTACAAGTGATGACCGCTGTACCAACTGTCGTGGTTGCCTGTGCAGGTACTGCATGGAGACCCCAGCTATGGCGCCAGGTAACTTCGCCACGGCAAGTATGGCCTCCGCCGCTCACTCTCGCCTATGTCGCTTTGTCCAGTCTTGCAGTGCTGTGCTTCGAATAGCGCAGCCTCGTTCCAGCAACGGGTCACTCAAGAAGTGAGCTACCCCACTGTCTGATGTCCAGCCGCTGCCTTGCGATATGTAGTGCTGGGCGTGCTGGGCCTACTTGGTGCTGGCCTTAGAAACGGCCCAGCTGGTCTGGGTCCCTATCGGACATCCAGACCGTGTTGCTGATGCAACAGGCTCAAAAACGCGCCACTCTTGGATCAGGCCCCGTTTCGGTGCACTTGGCCCAAGGCGCTGCCTTGGTGCCTGTGGTCCGAAACGGTATTGGTACCGTTGAGTCAGGCGCCAAAACGCGTCTGGTTTCAGAAGGGCCTTGTGCCTCTGTACCTGGCCCAAGGCGTTGCCTTGGGGTCTGTAAGTCCGAAGCAACGTTTGCACAGACAAAGGACAAGACAACAGGTAAGTAAATAAATAAATAAATATTGATGCCTTTATTTGGAATCTTCAGCTTGGGGGCCGTCCTGGGCCTTCAGGGCGCATGTCTGATGGCATGCGGCCTGGAGCCCCTCAACAACTGTTTGGCCCCTTAAAATGGGCCCGTGTGTAGGCACAACATGTAACACCCCCCCCTCCTTATGAAGTCGAGCCGGGTCGAGGGCGAAGCTGACGATCTGAAGGTGGAACTTGGATGCGGGTGCAACGTGGAGCCGAAGATACCGGCTTGCCGTGCATCTTGCGTTCGTAGCGTGCGAGAACATCCGGAGCTGTTACTTGGAGTTCCGCATGGGTCAACCAACGGTCAGCTTTGTGGGTGCAGTACGCAAAGTGTACCAAGTATTCGGTCGGCGTGTTGCCATAGCGTCGCTGGGAGATAATGTCGCTGACCCCTTGAAAACCATCCATAGAGGGTGGGTCTTGTGATTGTCGCCCGGGAAAGTCGTCATGTTCCGCCGGCGTGTAAAGAGCCAGCTTGGAGCAATGAAAGGCCAGGCAAACGGGCAAGTGGGCGCGCACCTGAATGATGAAGGTCCTTCGGGTGCATCCCCAGACGGTGCCACGATCGGCCAGGGCCCCATCCATTTCAGGAGGAGCTTGCGAGAGATATCTTGTTCGATGCCGAGTTCGAGGTTGAATTCCCGCGGCGGAAACCCAAACGAGATCGTCGGCGTGGAATGGGTAAGGAAGACGTTGGCGATTGGCATGTGTGCTCATGCGTTGCCGCGTCTTAGCCATCTGGTCGCGTGCCTTGACAAGTAGCTCTTGCATCCGACGCAAGAAGAGAAGATGGTCATCGCTCTCGGTCGCTCGTGGAATGATTTTGTCCAACGGAGAAGTGACCGGCGAGCCGTGCTCGAACTCGAAGGGCCAGCTTGGAGCAATGAAAGACCGGGTAGACGGGCAAGTGGGCGGGCACCTGAATGATGAAGGTCCTTCGGGTGCATTCCCAACGGGTGCCACGATCGACCAGGGCCCCATCCATTTCAGGAGGAGCTTGCGAGAGATATCTTGTTCGAGGCCGAGTTCGTTGGCGCGGAATGAGTGTGTCCAACGGAGAAGTGACCGACAAGTCGTGCTCGAACTCGGAGTAAAATCTAGTTAGGTATGTACCTGTCTCTTATACACATCTAGATGTGTATAAGAGACAGCTGTTTGCTCATGCGTTGCCGCGTCTTAGCCATCTGGTCGCGTGCCTTGACAAGTAGCTCTTGCATCCGACGCAAGAAGAGAAGATGGTCATCGCTCTCGGTCGCTCGTGGAATGATTTTGTCCAACGGAGAAGTGACCGGCGAGCCGTGCTCGAACTCGAAGGGCCAACTTGGAGCAATGAAAGACCGGGTAGACGGGCAAGTGGGCGGGCACCTGAATGATGAAGGTCCTTCGGGTGCATCCCCAGTGGGTGCCACGATCGGCCAGGGCCCCATCCATTTCAGGAGGAGCTTGCGAGAGATATCTTGTTCGAGGCCGAGTTCGTTGGCGCGGAATGAGTGTGTCCAACGGAGAAGTGACCGACAAGTCGTGCTCGAACTCGGAGTAAAATCTAGTTAGGTATGTACTACCTCTCCGTTGCACAACCCTAGTTTGACTGGGACCGAAAAGTGGTCAAACACACTTTGCCAGGTGGGGGGACCGTCAAATTACGTAAGTTCAAAGCTAGTAGTCTGATTGAGTCGTACGGATGCATGTGTGCGGCCACGTTTTATAATTATTATAAGCAAAATCCAGAGGAGGGTATGTATCTAGTCTATCTTTGCAGCAGGCGAGCCGGTGAAAATGTCGTGCGAGATTGAGGGAGTACTTGCTAAATACCCTGATCTGTTTGAAGAGTCAAGAGGGGTTGTTGAGAGGGAGGTCGTCCACGCAATAGAGATTATCTCAGGGTCTAGCATCCCGAAGGGTAGGATCTATAGGATGTCTCTAGGCAAGCTTGATGAGCTTCGCTGACAACTCAAGGAACTCGTAGAGAAGGGTTGGATCCGACCGAGTGTCTCCCCTTACGGATCCCCAGTCTTATTTGTGCCGAAGAAGGGAAGAAGGGAGTGTGCATCGACTATAGGGGCCTCAATGCCATCACTGTCAAGAATTGAGAGCCCATATCGCTCATCGATGACTTGCTAGATAGAGTGCAAGGGTGCCGGTACTTCAGTAAGATAGATCTAAAGTCTGGGTACCATCAGATTGCAATCCGACCTGAGGATCAACACAAAATTGCAATTCAGACCAGGTACGGTCTGTACGAGTTTGTGGTGATGCCTTTTGGCCTCTGCAATGCTCCTGGCACCATTCAACACGCTATGAATCGGATCTTTCATGACTACCTGGATATGTTTGTCATCGTGTACCTTGATGACGTACTTATTTTTAGTAAGACTGTTGACGAGCATGTTGCGCATTTAGACAAAGTCCTCAGTCTCCTTCGGCAGCACAAGTTCAAGATCAATGGGGAGAAATGCGAGTTTGGTTGCACCCGGATCTTGTACTTGGGTCATGAGATTTTCGTGGAGGGTTTGAAGCCCGATGACGCGAAGGTGGCCAGCATTCGTGACTGGCCACGTTCTCAGTTTGTGCCTGAGATGAGGTCTTTCTTAAGGATGACCGGCTACTATCGCAATTTTCTGAAGAACTACAACATAGTGCCCGCCTCTTTGACTGACCTGACTCGCCTTGACACCCCATGGGAGTGGACAGACAGGTGCGAGGCTGCTCTCGGACATCTGAAGCATGCATTGACGCATCATGAGCTCTTGAAACTTCTTGATCCTGACAAGCCGTTGATAGTAACCACGGATGGCAGCCAATATGGCATTGGCGCCGTGCTCGCGCAGCAGGAGGGGCCAAAGTTGAGGCCAATGGAGTACGTGTCCAAAAAGATGCCGTCTCAGATGTTGGCTAAGTCCACTTATGAGAAAAAGCCCTACGGGATTTATAAGGCACTGACCCATTGGAGACATTACCTCCTTGGGAGGTTCTTCATCGTCAAGACCGATCATCAGATCCTGAAGTGGATGAGAACCCAACCAGTACTTTGTGATGCCTTGAAGCGCTGGATCGAAGTCATTGAACAATATGACTTCGAACCCCAGTATCTGAAGGGGGAGTACAATAAGGTTGCTGATGCCTTATCACGTAGGCCTGATTTCTCTGGTGCGCTGATTACTGAGTTCGGGCTTGTGGACGATGTAACTCGCTCTTTGGTGGAAGCCTATCGCGAGGATCCGTTTATGTCTGAGATCATTCGCAGACTCGAGGCGAAGGACAAACTGACTTCTGCCGAGTTTGAGTTGGTCAACGGCTTGCTGTTTCTTGAGAAGGCCGGGAATAAACGTTTGTGTGTGCCTAATCAGGAGTCTTTGCATCGTTTATTTTTAGGAGAGTGTCATGACGCCACAAGACTTTTTGGATATAAGAAGACTGCAGCCAATCTGCTGCAACAGTTTTGGTGGCCCACTATGATGCGAGATGCCAAGCTGTACGTGGAGACTTGTCAGGTCTGTCAGAGAGAGAAGCCAGTACACAGTCCCCTCTTGGGCTTCTCAAGCCCCTTCCGATTTCGGAAAGGCCCGGTGAGAGCGTGTCTATGGACTTCATGGACACGCTGGTCACCAGCAAGAGTGGAATGAGACATATCTTCGTTATCTAGGATAGGTTTAGTAAATACGCTTGGTTAGCTGCGATGCCAGAGACAGCGAAGACCGAGTACGTCATTAGGTTGTTTAAGGAGAACCGGGTCAGAGATTTTGGCTTGCCAAAGTCTATTGTGCGCGACCGGGATGTTAGATTCACAAGTGAGTTGTGGAAGGCCGCAGCTGTGGAACAAGGAACGCAACTGCAGATGACATTTGGAAACCATCCAGAGGCAAACGGGCAAGGAGAGCAATTAAACCGCGCTGTACAACCTGTTGTGGCACTACATCAAGCCCAATCAAGTGGACTGGGATGAGAAACTTGCTCTCATTGCCAGCCTGTACAACAACGCTATCCACGGCGCCACTGGAGTGAGCCCTGACAGTTTGCTACTGACTTCAAGCCTAGACTGCCCCTACACTTTCTACTGCGTGAGAACCAGCCAACTGCTGCATCTGGCACACTAGAATTTGCTTATTGATATGAACAATTGATGCAGCAGTCGGTCGAACAGATGCACAAGGCACAGGCGGCGATGATAAAATCGGAAAACAAGCACCACCGCCCATCAACATTCCAGATAGGGGACAGGGTCTGGGTTAAGTCTTCACAATTGGGACAGGAGCACGGGATCTCCCGCAAGCTTAGGCCACAGTACTTTGGTTCCTGGGAGGTTTTGGATGTAGTCGGAGATGATCTGGATGGTCCATTATATGTAGTTCAGATCCCTGGTCACCTTCGCACTTAACCCTGTCTTTCACGCCTCCAAGCTTGCATCATTCGTGGAAACTGACCAGTTTCCCTCGCGACGCTTATTGCTGCCCCCAACCATGGATGGAGAGGTCGACATCGATGACATCGTGGACGACAGGGAAATGCCGGTTCCAAGACCTTCAGGCAGGGGACGTCCTCCAAAGCTGAAGCTGCAGTACCGCGTTTGGTTCAGACACCATACTGATCCAAAGGAGGATAGATGGTTCACCCTAATGCAGACCGCTCCACAGGTTGTCACCCACTATGAGTTGTTGCAGAAAGGAAAGCGCCAAATTGAATGAACTTCTCAGAGGACTAGCGAAGTATGGAGGAGGGAATGCAAGGCAGAAGGCCTCGATAAGCCCTATTGGGCCCCTATTGGCAACAATGTCAGCCGCCCTCAGTGAAGACAGGCTCGACAGACGACCAGAGGCCAATTTTGGACTACTTCGCAGCTGGGGAAAAATTCAGGCAGTTGGGCAGCGCCAGTTGGTGAAAGCGCCCAGGCCCTGACCTCCTTTATCAAACGCATCTGAGTCAGGCCCTAGGCGAGATACACAGCATGGACCCAACTCAGGCTGTGGGCAGTTGGGCACAGGTAACTGTCACAGGCCTTGGGCCTGATCCCTTTGGTCTGGGGCTCAACCCCTTTGGGCCTATCAGAAGCTTATGGGCAGGGGCCCAGTGCAGCCAGGCTGCACGCAAGGTAGGCAGGCCACTTCCATTTAGGAAAGGGCCTGCACATGCATTCGGTATTCGGGCACTGGCTGCATGTTGCTCAAGCGCTGCTGCGCTAACGCTGGACAACGCGCTCACGGGCGAGCTGGAAGGAGCAGGCAGCCATAGCCGAGCTGCGCTGCTGTATGCTGGATGGGGCGCATGGTGGTCCTTGGGTGCATGCTGCATCTGTGAGTTGGGGAAGGAGGTTGTGAGTGATACGAGAGACATACCTGGTGCTGGAAGCGTACGACATTGGCCGAGATCTGCTCGTACTTCGGGGAGTTGTTGACGTCATCGACAACATTGTAGATGAGGCTAGATAGGATCTGCCATCTGTAGTCTGGACGCCGAGCGCCAGATAGGATATCGATATTGGTTGTTCGTTGATGATGATGAGACTATTCCAGCATTGTCAATTATGAGCTTTTCCTGTGCTCTTATTTGGTGAAACTCGTGATGCAATTTTGCTATTGGTTCGAGGTCACGACTATCTGGTATCATGTGTATGATGCTGTTTGATTTCTTAAGGTTGCTATCGCTCATTTTCCTTGCAATATCATATTTTATACTTTGGTTTGACTTATGTTTATGGCTCATGACTTGGTCACACCAACTTATGGTGAGACTACCCTTTGCATGCATCCCCCTCATAAATAAACGTAGAATTTGACATACGCACTTCAAAATGTGCCCTACTCTGCTCAACAAAAAAAGAAACAAGGATTATGAGTACCCAACTTATGGGTCTCATCATCCGTTCAGAAACCCCAAGAAAAACATGGGATCAGACTGTCCAACTTATGGAGCGGCCCAACCTCTGAAAACCAAGCAGATAGCCGAGCATACAAAGAAGAAACATGGCAGATAGCCAAGCATACAAAGAAGAAACATGGGACAGATCCCACACGCTTAGAATGGACTCAACCTTTGGTTGACCCGGGCAAACGCAAGCAAAACCAACCTTCCTCCCGCCTTCCCCCATTCATTTTGTGTGAATTCGTACAAATAATCTGGATTCTCGCACACATAATTCAATTACTTTAACTCGTATTAAATCTTGAATGTAGAATAAAATAAAGTAAATAATAGGGGATGGGATTAGATGCACGAAAGAGGTCTTACCCGTGTCCTCCCTCCTTCTAGAACCCCGTCTGGGCTCCGGTAGAGCCCCCGCAATCGGTGGGTGAACCCCCCCCACAAAACCTTGCTTCGGTCTTGTGGGTTGCAATCCCACCTGCCTTCCTCTCCCGAATTACAAATTAGATTGAGAGTAAGAAAGATAGAAAAAGTAAGTTCAGTCTCTCAAGGCGCAAAGGAATCCACTCAGACTAGCATGGAGAAGGCCTTGATGCCTTTATATCCGGAGGGCCGAGCAATGGCGGACAATCACTCAGAAACTGGCTTCAGCAAGTAGCAGATATCGCGATAGATTCACCATAGGAACCACCTACTCCAAACAGTATTGCAGCCACAGTCTGTGAAAGAGAGTATAGAAGAACTTTGAGACCACAATTGTTGTTTTATCGCAGCAGCAATCTCGGTCGCACCTTGCAGCAGTACAAATGATACACAACACTCACTTGCCGTTGCTGTGAATGGTGGCAATGTCACCTGATGTACGACAACAGTCATAAAAGCGTTGCGGCAACGCTAAAAAATGTCACAACGATGCCTGAAAATGCCGCGCAAAAGGCCCTCAAATCAAAGCAAGATCAAGAAGTTGATCTCAACAGCGACAACAACCATCAGCACCAGCAGAACCGTTGAGACTAGTTGTACCCACCAGGCCGCCTTAGCGATAGAACCCAATGGTTATACAGAATGCAACATGGCGGAATCTGCAGTGGTTTAACAAAATGAACCCTCATATGTAGTCTACTGGACTCGGACTCAACAGCTCAACAGCAAAACAGTAATATTGAATGAAGCAACAACGACAATGACAACTATCCAATAGCCAGCAATATTTGATAATCAGTAAAGTTGTCGATTGTTGCTGCTCAAGAAAGAGAACAACAACAACTCCTCCCTTGGTTAGTAGCGTCATTTGCACCTCACGAAATTATAACACCGACATTGGTTCCAGCAGTAGTTTGCCGCAGCCTGGTAAGTTCGGGGATGACTCTCTTCGCTTCCATCTCTTCCGACTTTATTTCCTTCGATCTCACTTTGACCCTACCCCTCGTTGGCTTGCTAACTCGTTCACCTATGACATCTCCACCAGGTGAAAATCTTTACCCAACTTCCTTGTTTTCTTTCTCTGATTCTAATACATCTAACTCGGTTGAGTAAACCTCTCACCAACTCTCTTCACCTCCCAATTTCCTGCCCTTTGTTTCTCACTCCCTCCTTAGCAACGTCCTCACACAGTCATACTTGCAATGTGTTTGGCCTTAGACAAGGCCAAGCGAAGGTACGATAAAGAACAAGAAAAAGAGGGTTACAAGCAGCGCAGTAAGGTCACAACTTCCTGAGCGAACGAACCATGCGTCAGTGACTTCAGCGGGATAGCAAGTTAGTCAACCATTGGTTGAACCGCGCGTATGTGGTAGCATGGGAAGCACAATCCGAAGGTCCGGATCGGCCAAGACGCGCCTAGGCAAGGCAGACAGACGCTTGCTCCACTACTCACCAAATGCGCGAAACATGAATGGACCTGCCGCTGAAAAATGGGCGGATACATGGGCCGAATTCTCGAGGGACTTCAATGGTGGAGATGAAAACAATAGCATGTCGAATGTCTCGAGTGAGGATGATGAACGCAACCACCATCTAGATGAGCACCACCACCCCAAAAAGCAGCGCGATGACTTTAATCACATCCACGATCCAACGACGACTCTCAACACCTTGATCATGATGACGACCACCATGGCTAGCGCAACGCGATGAGAGTGGCCAGGGACGGTGTCTGCAAAACGAGCACCACCAAAGATCAAGATTGTGACCGTGGCGAAGAGTTGAAGCCCATTGTCATGGGCCATCCTCCACTACTACGTCACGACCGACTCAATGCACCTGGCCATAACAATTGACCATATTCGAGCATCGACCGAGCAAGTACATCCAAGCTTTTGCCTGGCTTACGAAGGCGGGCCAGAATATCCAACGACGACTCTCAACACCTTGATCATGATGACGACCACCATGGCTAGCGCGACGCGATGAGAGTGGCCAGTGACGGTGTCTGCAAAACGAGCACCACCAAAGATCAAGAGTGTGACCGT